TATTTGGGAAATGTTTGCGAATTGTTTTTCTCTTAAAGTTTTGAATTTAGGGCATGAGGTTAGAAAGTGCAGCTCTGTCTCTACCTGTCCTCTGTCACACTGGGAGCAGAGTCTCTCCTCTTCTGGTAGCCAGTTCTGTCTGTGGCGACCCGTTTCTATGGCCAGGCTGTGTTCACTCAGTCTGTACATTGTCAACATTGTTCTTAGTTTAGGACATTTTATTGTGCTCAGGTAATTTGCCAGTGTGAATTCTCTTTTTAGGGTCAGATAACATTGTAATTTACTTTGTGTTTTGGTCGTTTCTTTCCAGTGTTCAATATATTTTCTTTTTGCTTGTTGATAATTTGGTTTGGTCTGATTGAGTTGGTGTTGCTGTCCTGAGGCTGTTGGGGACATGTTACTGCAGATAGCCTCAGGACCAGCTGGCTGAGGGGACTCTTCTCTGGTTTCAGCTCCTGGTATGTTAGGGCTTTGTGATGGTATGTCTGGGGGTTAACTGATTTTAAGTGATTGTAAAATTTAATTGATCTTTTCTGTATTTTTAGTAGGAGGGGGTATTGGCCGAGCTCTGCTCTGCACAGATTATTTGGTGTTTTTCTCTGCACCTGCAGGATGCTCTTACAGAACTCGCTGTGGAAAGATTCTATGATTGTTTTGTCCCATTTGTCAAATTCATTATTTAGTTTTGGTCCCCAAATTTTGCTGCCATGTAGAATTATTGGTTCTAGTACAAATTGGAAAATTTTAAGCCAGATTTGGATTGGGATATAGATTTTAATGTTTCTCTTTATTGCATAGAAAGCTCTCCTTGCTTTGTCCCTCAGATCTTTCACAGCCATGTTGAGGTTTCCTGTGTATGTAATGTTGAGGCCAAGGTAAGTGTAGTTTTTTGTATGTTGTAATTTAGTGGTGTCTAAATAGAAATTGTGTGTAACCTGATTTCTGTATTATTTCTGAAAGATCATTATCTTAGTCTTTGCTGTGTTTACTGTCAGGGCCCAGGTCTGACAAAATCTCTGCAGGAGATTAAGGTGCTGCTGCAAACCTTCTGTAGTTGGTGAAAGCAACACTAAGTCATCTGCATATAGCAGACCTCTGATCTCTGTGTCGTTCAGGGTGAGGCCAGGTTGACAAGTCATTTATTAATGATGTTGCAGGTTACTGGAGACACATATTCCTCTATAGTTATTTGGATCACATTTATTTCTGGATTTATGAATAGGGGTTATTAAAACTTTGTTCCAGATGTCTGGAAAAGCTCCAGTTGACAGAATAGTATTGAATAGTTTTAGTATAGCCAATCAGATTTTATGGTCTAAGTATTTGATATTTCGTCTCTCTCTCTCTCTCTCTCTCTCTCTCTCCCCCTCTCCCACCCACGTAGAGCGGAAGGATCTGTCCGAGGTTTCTGCCTCTTAAAGGAAGTGTTTCCTTGCCACTGTCTCCAAGGTCTTGCTCATGGTGGTACTGTTGGGTCTCTGTAATTAATGTTTTAAAGAGTTCGGTCTAGACCTGCTCTATTTGAAAAGGGTCCTGAGATAACTTCTTTTATGAATTGGCACTATACAAATAAAATTGAATTGAATTGAATTATATTATTCATAATGATATAATTATAATATTTTTAATACATACAGTTAATGTTACCTTAGCAAACTGCCACTGGATGTTTTCAGTTGAGTTGATTGAGGTGCGTTCAGGGACACTCAGATAGTCCAGGGTTTAATATGGATCAACACAGGTGTTTCTCCTAAATAGTATTAACATAAGAATATGAAAATAATTTTATGGTTTTATGATGAATTGAGAGCTGGGATTTCCTTTCCAAGTTCATTTAAAAATAAAAGAAACGTTCCTCCAGAAACCTGTTTCAGTTATTAAAGGTTCCTCCAGGAACCCCAACTTTATTATCAGTATACAAACACAACTTTATTATCACTGTACAAACACACAACTTTATTATCACTGTACAAACACACAACTTTATTATCACTGTACAAACAAAACTTTATTATCACTGTACAAACACACAACTTTATTATCACTGTACAGACACGCAACTTTATTATGATGATGATGGTGATGATGGTGATGATGATGATGAAGGTGAACATCCACCTGTCTGTGAGGTTCTTCTGTTTGTTTGAGGCTTTAATTTAATCATTTCCTGGAAACTGAATCTTTACGCAACAAGTTACAAAACAGAGCGAGGACAGGATGAATTAGAGAGGAGGAGGAGGGTGAGGAGGAGGAGGGTGAGGAGGCCCTGGTTTCTTTGTGGCTCCCACAGAAACATCTCCAATTACAGGACAAAGGCGACTCATTCAGGCCCGCAGCTCCAACTCTGCAGCTTTGCATGTCTAATGAGGACTCTGCTGAATGTTAAGGGGACCCCAGGGTGCTGCAGGGGCCTCAGCACCCCCCTATACCCCCCCCCGCACTCCCCATACCCCCCCTGCAGCCGGACTTCGAGGCTGGGCCTCCTTTCTCTGAACACACCGACCGATCTCCTGCATAAGCTTCAGATGGAGAAGTATTCACATCCTGACTGCAGTAGAAGCACTACACTATGGCTGCAGTAAAGGATCGGAGTACTCCTTCCAGAGTAAAGTCCCCTCCGTCTCAGTGACTTCCTGTTGATGTTTGTTTATTCTGAGGGTGGACCGTCACTGAACTTCCTGATTCTGCTTCTCTCTCCTCCCTCAGTCTCCTCACTTCATCTCTCCATCAGGTCTTCTTCTCCTGTGAGGACACAGATTTCTATGGCTTAAAAATCATGATCAATCATCTGACCTCTGCCCTGTAAACTGCAGATCCTGCTCTGCAGCAACTGAAGTCTGAGTGTCTTCTTGTTAAGCATTATTTTTATTATAGGTTTAACCTTTGACACATTTACTTTAATTAGCACAGTAATACCTTGTCCTGTGTAGCTAGCTAGCACTAGCACAGTAATATATGAACTATTATCACTATCTGCTCCAATGGGCTCAGCTAATAATCCCTAGATGGATTCAGTCAGAGTTTCCAATGGAGAACATGAAAATTCCCTTTGTTTTAATTCCTACATTGTCCTGTAATTGTCTAGAATTCAGGATTTACAGACACTGAAGCCGCAGTAACTGCAGCCGAAGCTGAGAGACGGCGAGGGAGAACGTAGTGACTGCAGCCGAAGCTGAGAGACGGCGAGGGAGAGCGCAGTAACTGCAGCCGAAGCTGAGAGACGGCGGGGGCGCAGTACTGCAGCCGAAGCTGGAGCGGGGGGCGCAGTGACTGCAGCCGAAGCTGAGAGACGGCGGGGAGGCGCAGTGACTGCAGCCGAAGCTGAGAGACGGCGAGGGAGAGCGTAGTGACTGCAGCCGAAGCTGAGAGACGGCGAGGAGGCGCAGTGACTGCAGCCGAAGCTGAGAGACGGCGAGGGAGAGCGCAGTGACTGCAGCCGAAGCTGAGAGACGGCGAGGGAGAGCGCAGTGACTGCAGCCGAAGCTGAGAGACGGCGAGGGAGAACGCAGTGACTGCAGCCGAAGCTGAGAGACGGCGAGGGAGAACGCAGTGACTGCAGCCGAAGCTGAGAGACGGCGAGGGAGAACGCAGTGACTGCAGCCGGCTGAGAGACGGCGAGGGAGAACGCAGTGACTGCAGCCGAAGCTGAGAGACGGCGAGGGAGAACGAGTGACTGCAGCCGAAGCTGAGAGACGGCGAGGGAGAACGCAGTGACTGCAGCCGAAGCTGAGAGACGGCGAGGGAGAACGCAGTGACTGCAGCCGAAGCTGAGAGACGGCGAGGGAGAGCGCAGTGACTGCAGCCGAAGCTGAGAGACGGCGAGGGAGAGCGCAGTGACTGCAGCCGAAGCTGAGAGACGGCGGGGAGAACGTAGTGACTGCAGCCGAAGCTGAGAGACGGCGAGGGAGGCGCAGTGACTGCAGCCGAGCTGAGAGACGGCGAGGGAGAGCGCAGTGACTGCAGCCAGCTAGAGACGGCGAGGTAGAGCGCGACTGCAGCCGAGCTGAGAGCGGCGGGAGCGAGGCGGAGACGGCGAGGGAGAACGCAGTGACTGCAGCCGAAGCTAGGACGGCGGGAGAACGCGTGACTGAAGCTAGAGACGGCGAGGGAGAGCGCAGTGACTGCAGCCGAAGCTGAGAGACGGCGAGGGAGAGCGCAGTGACTGCACTTACTGACAGTTTTACATCGAACATGGAAACAAGATTAAACACTCAAAAGTGAAATTTCAGTCAGAACTGAATTTTACTGCGGTCCGCCATGTGTTACTCAGTAACATGTGAGTACTGCTCCTGACCTTGACACTGATGATACGATCAACAGCTGCACTCAGCACCTTCAGGGTGAGCTCTTCTTCTGTGGTGTTTGCTGTGAACACATAATATTACCCGAAACAAGATAGAATCAGACAGAACTGTTTCTTCATATTCACTTTACACAACAGCAGAAACATCCATCCCCCCCCTCCCCCCTCGGAGGGAAACGATGGCGAGCAGCCACATTCCTCACCAACGAATCACATCACAGGAAGTCAGAGAGGAAGAAGCTGGCTAATGCTTTCCTGTTACACACTCAGTCCGTCCAAACCATAATTACAGGCTGCAGATGTTCAGCAGTTAAAGTTTCACTGCTGCAGAATGAGACCAACAGAACCAGAACCGAGACCAGAACCGAGACCAGGACCGTGAGCAGGGCCGGGACCCGCTCTCACATATATGATGTGATATATTCATGTTTTTATATCTGACACATTTCCACCAAACTCCATTCAGAAAACAACAGATTTAAGACTCAAACTGAACAGCAGTGTGTTTGTTGGTGATCTTCTTCACTTGGTCAGTTTCACAGTTTGTTCCCCCGTTTCCCTCCAGCCGTCGTCATGGTGACGCTCAGCTATGCAGAGTCTGAATACAGTCAGCAGCTCTGAGGAAAGAGGCTTTTGTTACCCACAACCCCTTTCACCTCCTCCCCCTCCTCCCCTCTCTCCCACCCCTTCAGCTTCT